CTTCTCCTCCACCCGCCCCCCAGAGCCCGGAAAAAGCCAAAAACCCGGGGGGGGGGGTGGTGGGGGGGGGTAGAGGGAGTCTGGGAACTCTCAAAACCAGGGCCACACCACACTGCCCCACCATTACCAGGCCAGCTGGTCACATAGGGACTCCCACCATCAGGGCATTTTCGAGCAATCGCAGAGGGAAAGGAGAGCAGGTCAGAGAAAATAGGAACGTACCTACGGCACCACCTACAGGGGGAAAGGAAGTAAGCTACCTATCGGCCTGCAGAATTGTTGAGCAATTCACCTGTCGGTCATTAGCAAACCAACAAACAAGATCAGGTGAGGATGTGAAGAGAAGGGAACCCTCACGCACAGATGGCGGGAATGCAGACTGAAGCAGCCGCTATGGAAACCAGTACGGAGGTTCTTCCAACAACTGAACACAGAACTACCAAACCACCTAGCGATCCCACGCCTGGGCGTTTTCCAAAGAAAACGAACTCTAATTCGAAAAGCTATCTGCACCCTACGTTCACTGCAGCATTATTTACAATAGCCAAGATGTGGAAGCAACCTAGGGGTCCATTCATAGGTGAATGGATAAAGTGGTACATATATACAATGAAATGTTCCTCACAGGGAAAAAATCTTGCCATTTGCAACAACATGGGTGGACCTAGGCAGTGATGGCGAACCTATGTCACCTCTGACACGCAAACTCATATTTTGGTTGATTTTTCTTTGTTAAATGGCATTTAAATATATAAAATAAATATCAAAAATATAAGTCTTTGTTTTACTATGGTTGCAAATATCAAAAAATTTCTATATGTGACACGGCACCAGAGTTAAGTTAGGGTTTTTCAAAATGCTGGCACGCCGAGCTCAAAAGGTTCACCATCACTGATGGAGGGTATTATGCTCAGTGAAGTAAGTCAGAGGAAGACAAGTACCACATGATTTCACTTATGTGTGGAATCTCCTAAACACACACACACACACACACACAAAGAAATTAAACTAATGGCTGCCAGATGGGGTCTAGGGGATGGGTGATAAATTGGCACGCGGACACAGGTTACTACAATTAGTGAGATGACCACATTGTAAAGTATGCAAATGTCAGATCACCGTAGTGTACACCTAAAACTAATATAAGTAATATAATTTTGTATGTAAACTAAATAAAATTTAAAACCTAGGTAATACATGTTTACTAGGTATTTTCCTAAGTTTTGAATTAGGTTAAAATTCGCTCGCTCTCCCGCCGAGTCCCCCTGCACCTGTAGCTCAGAACACACGCTCACAGCGTCGTTGCTTTTCTCCCGTGAAACCTGTGAAGGAAGGAACCCTGACTCTACTACCTTCTCCATCGCCACCGCCCCCAGGCCGGGGCTGGGGACACAGTGCAGGCGAAAGACACCGAAACACACGAAACCGTAAGGATAACGACCACGCAACAGGGCGAAATGTCAAGCTCACTGCCAGGCCTGGACCCCCACAAAGCATCTTACCAGTGAAGTGCCGCGATGACGCTGTCCCCCACGCCGGCGTCACGAGTCATTCTTCAAAGCTGGGCCCAGCACGTCGCCGAGACTGACATCCCCTGAGGTACAAAAGCCGCCCAAAGGGCGGCTAAGGGCGAGGCCGGCCCACGGGGACACTTCCGCTCCCTGGAAGCCGGGGGGAGCGCTGCGACTTCACCCTGCGGGACAGCTCCGCGGACCCGGCCACCAGCTCTGCGACTCTCGCTCCTGCCGAGTCGGCCTCTGCCCGCGGAGGGGAAGGGCAAGGGACAGGGCGTCCCACCTGGCACGCTCCACCGGAGCCCCTCGGGTGCCAAGGCAAGGCCAGCCCAGCCGCCAAAAGCCGCCGTTGAAAATCCGCAATTCACTCGCCCGCCGCCGCCGCCGCCGCCGCCGCCGCCGCCGCCGCCTCGTTTAAAATCGTTTCCCGACTCACACTGCGGCCCGACGCCGGAAGCCTCCCAGGCGCGAATTCCAAGTCAGTGAAGCAACTACGGTCGCCATTTTTACTGAGGGCACGTTCGAGCAATCTAACCATTAGCCTCACGTTTGAAAGCGCGCCGCGACGGACAGCGGTTTCCCACCGGCGCGAAGCTTTCCTTCTAATTTCCGGCCGCACTAAGCATGGCGGCGGGGCCTCCGCTCTGATTGGTTGATCGACTTCACCGTAGTCTTGGGCGCTCGCGAGCGCTTTGAGGAGTGCTTGGCTCACCCTGCCGCTGTGCCGGGAGAATCGGACCCTCACAACGTTTTGGATTTGCCCTCTTCCTCATTTTGAATATCCGAGGTCGGCGCCAGAATTGAAACGCGAGGCTGGGTTCTCCCTGTTTCCCGGTTCTGCCGCGGGAACCTTTGGGGAAGCGCGGAAGGAAAGGAAGGGCGTGCGCTTGATGACCGGCCCCTTCAGTCTCTCCCTGGGCGTGGGGTTCCCTCTTGCGCCGCTGTGAGGACGCGTCCTTGTACATCTGGCCGCAGCTGTGTTTGTTAGCAGAAGTGGAAACTGATGCATGGAGAAGGAGAGAAAGGTCTTTCTTCTACCCACTCCCCAAGGACCCCAAAGACCTTGTAAATCGATCCGCTGTCCAGACACGTGTACTTGAATGTTCAGCGGAGGAGGGCTTAAATACTGGAGCAGAACGTGGGAACTCCTAGGATTTTAAGGGATTCGCGTGTATTTCCAAAAATGATCGTTGACCACCGTCCAGCACCGGCAGTGTGGGATCCGTGAGCGTCTCGCCCTCCAGCGGCATCAACATGTTCTCCAGTTGGTTACCTGGGCTAAATAGGGGTTTGGCCACACCCACCGGAAGGATCGCGCAGCTGGTCGGCCGGTCTCTTTCTAGAAGTCTGCAGCTGAGCTCACGAAGGAGCGTTCCAGGTGAAAGCAGTGAGGAGCTCGTGACCTCCGGACCGCACTTTCTCCTGTTCTCCATTCCCCGCTAGTCTTAACTGGATGGATGGTCTTAATGTAAAAGCAGATCATTCACCCTCTTCCTTTCTTATACTATAGTGTGTGTGTTGCCTGGAATTTAAAAAGACCAGAAAATGAGCCACATAGATAGGCTTTCAGTTAATGCTACTAAATCTCAAAATTTGTAAGTGTACATGGTGACTGTTCCACTTTCACACTAAAGTTAGTCACTGCACCATCCAACTTCCGTGATTCCTAAGGTCCTATTGGGTATGGGGAGGATCTGTGCTGAGCTATTAAGAATAGGGTAATTTTAGGTCAATGCAAATGCTTGGTGATGAAGAAAATTTTGATTTCCTAACATAAGGCAAAAATTTAAGACAGTTATTTAGTTGGCTTTTGACACATTTACCTTTGACATTATAGATTTAATAGTGATTGAATCAAATTACGTACTTAGATTTACTTTATAAATTTTATCCATGGACATGAAATACCTAAGATGATGTGACTTGAAGTCTTTATTTTTAAGCAGTTTGGAAATAGATTTTTAATCTTGCTTTTTTCTTTTTTCTTTAGAACTCAGTAGCTTTGTTGCCCGGACCAACACATGTGGAGAGTTGCGTTCTTCGCACTTAGGCCAAGAAGTCACCTTGTGTGGATGGATTCAGTACCGAAGGTAAATTGACACAGACGGTGTAAGAATGCATAGTGTTGTCAGAAGAGTAAAAGCTTTGCAACTCCTACAAGATTCTCAAAATTCCTTAAGTTGTCCATTTTGTTTTGAAAGGCCCAAAAAGTGTTACTCTGAGTAAGTATCCCTAGCATATGTTGAAGGGTATAATAAGGAAGTGTGATCCACCAATGAACAGAAATGCCCCTTGGTTTACAAGGGTTGAAGTCTCCTGACAAGAAAATTCTGAGACGTCCTAAATTAAATTACTGCAGGTCAGAGGGTGAAGGAAGAGATAAAGGGGTTAATTGGTTAACAGCTATAGTGCAAAACCAACAAAAGACTGCTCACACTCCTTAGTGCAGTGGTCGGCAAACTCATTAGTCAACCGAGCCAAATATCAACAGTACAACGATTGAAATTTCTTTTGAGAGCCCAATTTTTTAAACTTAAACTATATAGGTAGGTACATTGTTATTAACTTAATTAGGGTACTCCTAAGGCTTAGGAAGAGCCACACTCAAGGGGCCAAAGAGCCGCATGTGGCTCGCGAGCCGCAGTTTGCCGACCACGGCCTTAGTGTATGTTGGAATTATAATTAACAGTCAGGTGGCATTTCTGAGATTATATAAAAAGAGTGAATAGCCAGGCCTGTGAGACCCCAGCAGCCTCTGCTTCTTGTTCACACATGAGCTTTACAGATTCTGCGGCTGTGCCCTAGCCCATAGTAGCCCTGCTTCACCTTCACCTATTCCCTTTGTCTATAGCTAATGTTCGTTCTCTCAGAACGGCTCCAAGCAAGTCAAACGTGAGGCGTACGGGCCCCATGCCTCATTTATTTAAGGCGTCACACCTTTCTCCCTGTTTCAGGTATAAAAACATTTGCAAAATTCGGGGATAACGGACATGCTGTTTTTTTTTCTATCTAACCATGCTGCTCCATGCCCCAAGACCAGTCTTTTTTTGTGTTGTTGTGGTTTTTGTTTTTTGGGGGTGTTGTCTTTTCTTGTCAATGGCCTAATAAACACTTTCTTTTAAAAAGACTTTCAGCCATGGAATTTAACTTTTTAGTTTAAAACTCCCAAAGACTAGTAATTGAGAATAGGCCAGCTAGTAAGCTCCAAGAGCATAAACAAGCTTATTTTATTCTAAATTTAGGTAGAGAACATGATTCTTTAAGATTAGAGCTCTTTTGTTGTTGTATTCTAGAACATTTCTGAATAATACAGTAATTCACATTGAAGAAATCCAAATATATAGATAGTGTGACCTCTTTAAAGAATATGTCCCAAATAGATGGACATTTGACCCATAAATTTGTTGATTTTATCTTCTCAAAATCAGAGGAGGTGCCCAGCCAGCATAGCTCACTGATTGAGCATCGACCTATGAACCAGAAGGTCATGGTTTGATTCCCAGTCAGGGCACATGCCCGGGTTGCGGGCTTGATCCCGTTGGGCATGCAGGAAGCAGCAGATCAATGATTCTCTCTTATCCTTGATGTTTCTATCTCTCCCTCTCCCTTCCTCTCTGAAATCAATATATATATATTTTTTTAAAACTCAGAGGAGGCTTTCTGAACCTCTTGTTGGATAGTAAAGACAATATGAAAAATGTAGATTGAATGCTAAAAATGTTGGGGTTTGGGGGACCTTTTGATGGTTTATAGAGATATTAAATTAGTAGTTGGACCTCCTCTAGAAAATTTTAGATTGTATCTTTTTTTTTTAGGAAAAGGCTTTATATTGTTGTACTTCAAAAATGTCCAATCAGATGTTTTTAGTATCCTAAAATATTCTCTTGGATTTTAATATGTGGAAAGTTTTCAAATTTAATAAAATTTTCTTGTAAAGACCTAAGCCAGTGATGGCGAACCTTTTGAGCTCGGCGTGTCAGCATTTTGAAAAACCCTAACTCAACTCTGGTGCCTTGTCACATATAGAAATTTTTTGATATTTGCAACCATAGTAAAACAAAGATTTATATTTTTGATATTTATTTTATATATTTAAATGCCATTTAACAAAGAAAAATCAACCAAAAAAATGAGTTCGCGTGTAACCTTTGACACACATGTCATAGGTTCACCATCACTGACCTAAGCCAATGAAAGTTAAAACATTTTTTAAATCTTTTCATTAATAAGCCATCTGGATAACATTAGTAAGCTGAATATCTATATATATAAAAGCCTAAGCGACCGAATGACCAGTGGACCGGTCACTATGATGCGCGCTGACCACCAGGGGGCAGACACGCCACACAGGAGCTGCCACCTGGTGGTCAGTGAGCTCCCACAGCCGACCTCCCGTGGCCAGCCAGCCCCAATCGGCCCTAATCACCAGTCAGGCCGAGGGACCCCACCCATGCATGAATTTGTGCACCAGGCCTCTAGTATAGCCAATAAGAATTAAAAACAGAAGTTTTTTGGGGTTTTTTCATTAATAAGCTACATAGAGCCCTGGCTCAGTTGGTTGGAGTGTCATCCCATATACCAAAAGGTTTCGTGTTCGATTCCTGGTCAGGGCACATACTGAGGTTTCAGGTTTGATCCCCAGTCAGGGTGCATTCCAGAAGCAACTCATCAATGTTTCTCTCTCGATATTTTTTTTTCTCTCTCTCCCTTCCTTTCTCTAAAATCAATAAACATATCCCTAGGTGAGGATTAAAAAAAAAAGCTACATAGAAAATTTCATGACTACCTATATATATAAAAAGCTAAGTGTCTGTCCATCCTACCAGTTATGATGTGCACTGGCCATTTAAAAATGAACAGCACCACAGACCTGGCGCCGACAAACCAATGCTCAGCTTCCTCCAAGTGGGACACGGGCTCCACCACCACCCGGAGCAACACCAAATCACAGCCAACGCCGCCAAGACCCCATGGCGCAAAATGCAGCCCACAGCCCAGCCCAGCCCAGAAACGGTCACTGTGGGCGCGGGGTAATAACATCACGTAGCAACGCCCAGCTTCCTCTCCCTAGTGACTAGCATCCTTGGAGTTTCTTCAGCCCAGGAACCCAACTTGCTTTATAGCCAGGTGCAAACATTTTATAGTTTAACCAAATGTTTGTGAAGCTTTTTCCCTTGCCTCATCTCATTTGATCCTCACAGAAGTCCTGGAGTAGATAGATAGGAGACTCGGTAGAATCCCATTTTCTTTTCATTAGCAAGATGCGAATATCGATATTAAAATATCAAAATATTTCTTATAATTAATTTCCTTTCAATGTGCATGAACCTGTGCACCAGGACACTAGTAGTTAATACAAACACATATTATTTATTATAATAAATGTGAGAAATTATATGGATCTTTTGTTTGTTTAGTTTGCTTTGCCTGCTTAAATTTTGGGCTCAGAGATTTTATCCTAACGTGTTCATTTTCTTCATTAATCAGGCAAAACATCTTCCTGGTGTTAAGAGATTTCCAGGGGCTTGTTCAAGTTCTCATTCCTCAGGATGAGGTAATGGAAGGTTTCTTACTGTTACTAAAAGCCTCTTTGATGCTGTGGTCAGGGTAACTAAATACGTTTGAGGTTTGAAATTCAAAAGTTAATAAAAAGTTAAAAAAATACAAACAACATTGAGACAAATGACAAACTGGGGGAAAATGTTCATCACAAACATACACCTATATAAATATAAATGAGACATTTGTTAATGAGCACATCAAATACAGGGGCTAATTTTGCTAATATCTAAAAGGTTACTATAGATCAAATTAAAAACAAAAACAGTGACCCAGCAGAAATATGAACCTAGGACATGAATATAAAATTTACAGAAAAGAAAAAGAAAATATAAATGGCTTTTAGATGTATGAAATATGCCCGACTTCACTCATAGGTAGAGAGAGAACTACACAGAATTGTTATTTTTGACACACAGATTGACAACACACTGCTTGGGAAAACAAGTGTTCCTACATTCATGGAGGGAGTCCAAATGGCACTAGTTCCATAGAGGGCAATTTGGCAACATCAAAACTAGAAGTGCATCTATCCTTTCAACCATCCCTTCCACTTCTAGTCAGTTATCTTACAAGCATCTTACACCTAGACTTACACAAATGCAAACTGACATAAATATAAGGTTTTTCATTGCGGGATTATTTTTAATAGAAACAAAACAATTGGGGAAAACCTAGTTGTTCCCCCAATAAGAGAGTGACATAAAAAATGCACATCCTGAGAGCCATAGAAAAAAGGTTAAAGTAGCTCTTTATGAACTAATATGGAAAAAGAAAGGTATGTTGATAGAGGAAACAAAACAGGAGTGCTATCATCTGTATTAAAAAGGAGGTGTGCATGTGTGTATTCATGATGTGTCCCTGGAAGGATCCGTGAGTGTCTGGGAAGAGAAACTAAAGGGCAAGGATAGGAGGGAGACTTCACTGTATATCTGTTCGTTTCCTTTGAAGTTTGAGCCCTGTGAAGGTACTACTTGCTAAAAATAATTACCATTAAAATTAGATGAAATAAAGCTCTCTCATCGTAGTTGTTGGGCAACATTGGTTTCTATTGTAATGCTTGTATGCCTAAGAAAAAATTTATTTACTCAGCTTTTAGTGTTTGAAATAAGAGCAATGAATTATCTCAGGATCTAGAAATGAGCATAGCTAACCTTCAGACTCCGTTATTGCTGTGGGACTTAACTGACCCGAAGACTAACTCTGGAAACAGTTGCCTTTCAAGTATGTATGTGGGATTTGTTTGCATTAATCGTTTCTTTCCTTATTTCCCTTTAAGGAAAACATTGTTACACTCTTAGTTAAGAGTTTGACTTGCTGTATTAACTGGAGTCAAAATTGTGAGGCAGTGATCGCTTAGGCAGCACATATAGTAAAGTTGAAACGATACACAGAAGGTTGGCATGGCCCCTGCAGGTCGTGATCCGTGTTAAAAAAGAAAAAAATTGTGAGGCAATTTACCAAGTTCTTTAATAAAGTCATTAAGGGCAGCCCCAGTATTTACAGCAATTAAGCTCTGAGTATTATCATTTTTCTAAACCATAGACTAGAGTTAGCACAGATTCCTTTAAATTCATGTGTTTCTTGGAACTGTTTTCCCCTCTTTTTCTGTAGTCCGCTGCTTCCGTGAAGAAGATTTTATGTGACGCCCCCATGGAATCTGTGGTGCAAGTGTCTGGGACAGTGGTTTCCCGGCCTCCAGGACAAGAGAACCCAGTTAGTAGTTTAGACACTGTATCTGTGTAAATTTCACCGTATACACTTGCACTGTCTGTCTACACATTCAGGCAACAGAGGCTGAGCACCTATTGGACATCAGGCACTAAAGCTCTGTAAGTTCTATGAATGAACCTGCAGATTTCAAAATCTTCACTATAAACACACACACTGATATAAATATGCATGTTAAGATATTTGTTAATGATCATATCAGCCACAGGTATGCATAAGAATGTCAAAATCATGTACAGACATTTAGACTACACACTAAGCACCTGTGTACTTTACATACATAAGTAAATCATGTATTTTACAAATGTTCACTGTGTACATATCCTGGTGAGTAAATTTTTAAATAGGTCTCTTCTCTCTCTTTAAGAAAATGCCAACAGGTGACATTGAAATCAAGGTTAAAACAGCTGAACTTCTGAATCCGTGCAAGAAGCTGCCCTTTGAAATTAAGGACTTTATGAAGGTGCCATCCTCTGTTATTAATAAAACTAGTAGCCCTGTGCACGAATCCATGCGCCAGTAGGTTGCTGCTGCCCTCCTGTAGCTCTCCACCTGCTGCCCCGCCCTCCTGTAATTCCCCTCCCCCCTCCCCCCTCATAGCTTGCTGCCCTGCCCGCTCCTGTAGCTCTCCGCAGCCTGCTTGTACCTCGCTGGCCCACCCTCCTGCTGATCTGTGATCTGGTTGTGAAGCGCTTGGTCGTTACGCCTCAGGGTGTAACGGCTAATTAGCTTATTCCTCTCTTATTATATAGGATAGAGCAGGGGTCCTCAAACTACGGCCTGCGGGCCACATGCAAATACAAATATTGTATTTGTTCCCGTTTTGTTTTTTTACTTCAAAATAAGATATGTGCAGTGTGCATAGGAATTTGTTCATAGTTTTTTTTTAAACTATAGTCCGGCCCTCCAACGGTCTGAGGGACAGTGAACTGGTCCCCTGTTTAAAAAGTTTGAGGACCCCTGGGATAGAGTATCTAAAGAATGTTGATGACCAATAAAATGTTTTCAAGTTTTTTTTAAGAAAAACTTTAACTTCCATGGCATTAAGCATGTTGTTATAGATGTATCATGAATTGTTAGTTCCACAATTTCTTGATGAACCCTTCTTAAATAATGACAATTCATTAAGCTGCTGGAGTTCCTAAACACGTGGACTGCTTATCAGACAGCTTGAAACATGATTCTGTCTTTAAGACTTGGGTTATTATTGCCCTGGCCAGTGTGCTTCAGTGGGTAGTGTCCACTGGGGCACCAAAGGGTCTCCGGTTTGATTCCCGATCAAGGGTACATACCTGGGTTGCAGGTTCATTCGTTGGCCCCAGTTGGGGCATGTGCAGGAGGCAACCAATTGATGTGTCTGACATCGATGTTTCTCTCTCTTTCTCTCTTCTCTTCGGGTGTTATTGTGTTCATGTCTTTTTGCTGCTTGTTTACATTTTGAAAGGAAATTTATGTCTAGCTTGGACATGGCCAAATAGCATAGGAGATCTTGCATCTATTAAGTTTAAACCTCTAACAGTGAAAAAGTGTTGGCTTGATTTCCCAAGCATATAAATATTACTGTAATTCAGGATGTTCTTTACCATTTTGAGGGGTTGATGAAGCTAGACAGCACTGGGTATGCACCCCCAGATAAATCTCAGCTATGTCACAATTATCTATAGTTGTAGACCTGCATAGTCCGAGTGCGTAAACTGGTCAATACAGGGATTTTTAAATTAATTGCAAGGCCTCTTAGTCTTCCATTTTAAGTTCCCAATACTTAATCTTTTAATTAGAAAAGGCAGTGTAATTACAGAGTTGGCCTTGGGGGGAGGTGGGGAGAAATACCCAGTTAATCTTTCAGAAAGATAAGTGACAGTTCTTCTGTTTCTAGTATCAAGGAAATAAGCTACATCAGGAAAAGGGCTTTAAGAGCCCTTTTTTTTAATAAAAAGTTGTCAGCACAGAGATTTACAGCCTGGAAAGTAAGCAAAAGTCCCTCTGTTGTTCTTTGCATTTCTTACACTCTCAGTCCCATTCAGGTGATAAAGTTGTAGTTGTTTTTTACTCTAGTGTAAATTATAAAAAGATCTTTGAAGACTCAATTACAGGTTTAACTGAATGGATAAATGTTTAGTATGATAGCCAAATTTCAGTCAGTGAAGGGTCACTAATAATCCTATATAATAAAAGCCTAATATGCAAACCGACTGAACGGCAGAATGACCGGAGGAACAACCGGTTGCTATGATGCGCACTGACCACCAGGGGGCAGATGCTCAATGCAGGAGATGCCCCCAGCCCACAGGCCCCAGGCCGGTCAAGGGAAGTGTCAGCGGGGGCTCCCTGATGGCCCCGCCAGTCGCCCCACAGATCGGCCCTGGTCGCTAACCCAGGCCTAGGGACCCTACCTGTGCACGAATTTCATGCACCAGGCCTCTAGTCATGAATAAAAAAAATGTAAGCTCTGTGCCAGTAACAAACTTAGGAATCAAGGGTGGCGGTGTATATCCAAATGGTGGGAGCTAAAGATAAAGTTTTTGAAATTTCACACTCTGTATCTAAAGTTAATATCTTGTTAATATTTGAAAAATATTTAAACATAAAAATCTTTAAATTTGTTTAGAAAACAGAAGCTCTTCGTTTGCAATATCGCTACTTAGACTTGCGCAGTTTCCAAATGCAGTATAACCTGCGGCTGAGGTCCCAGATGGTCATGAAAATGCGGGAATATCTCTGTAATCTACATGGTAAGGGAGATGCCTGCATGTTCTTGGAGCTTTTTAGCATCTCTTCTGTTCTGTTCAATAGTTTTACTGTATCCTCACGTTAGCATCATTGGGTCCGATGTTACCAGAGGTCTGGAATTCACTTAATGTGTAAAGCAGTTTTTGAAGTTTAATTTCCATGTATTTTGTCCTAAAGCATAATTTAGTAATTTAGAGCATAATTTCGCTCCCTACTGGGTCACAGATACAGCCTTTTAAAGGTGATAGTGCATGTTACCTTAAGTATTTCCCATCACTACTGAAGGTCAGACAGCCCTTTGGTTGTTACACCTGTAAGTTTTTTAAATTCTTTGTCATGCTTAAGTAGCATTTGTTGTGAGCTCAGAAATGTCATGGGAATTAAATTTGACTCTTTAATTAGTCCTGGGGTCTTTTCCTACTATATTTATGTTTTTTATGTTATTTTTGCTATGCTAGCAGAATATTTAAAAAAGCAAAACAATTCATAGACAAGGATCCATTAAGTAAGAATTATTTCATTACAAAAGTATCAACTCTGTGAACAGAATAGGAGGATTTCATGAAAATGTTCAGCTTTCTTCTTGGGTTTATAGAAACCAGCATCAGTGGGCTTGGTAACTTTTCCAGTCAAAATTCCTAATTAAGAGTAGCCTCAGATTATTGGACTATACCATAAACATCATATTTGACAAATTCTATCTATTAAATTCAAATGTCTCTCTCTCTCTTTTTAGGGTTTGTGGATGTAGAAACACCAACATTGTTTAAGAGGACTCCAGGAGTACGTATCAACTTACTATAATGTCCTATTAGTTAGGAAACTGGACCACTTTGCATTTATATTCACTTGGTTTTACTTCTTTTACTGCCTCAAGATAATCACATTATCCAGATTTCCTTAAGAGCTGAGAAAACTGCCAGTGAAGCAGAGGTGCTAACAGGCAAAGCCCTGTCTGAGTCCCACCTGCTCACATTCCATTTTCTCTCTGGGAATGTGAGTGGATCCTGTTGCCAAGGCCCCACGCTGCACCCCCACCCCCAACCCCAGTGTGTATGCCTCCCTCAACTGAGGTGGACACTTAAAGACCCTGAGCCTGCCCTTCTCACCTGCAGCAGGGCCTTAGGAACTCGGAGTTGGGGTTTCGCCATCCGTGCTCCATGGTCTAGGAGAGAAAACAGGACTTAGGGCTGAGCAGAAGTCACGCCTACTGCTTTGGGTACAGCAGCTCATTGAACCAGGTCTGAGCACGCATTGTAGCCCTGTGTTCTCTAGGTCTCAATGATATTCACCTAAAAGGGGTTCATAGGCTAGTTTCCAGGACCCAACACACTCCCCAATCCTTGGATTTGCATTGGGTTTCCCGGGCATTTTAATTCAGGATGAACCTTTTCACATGGAAAATGCTAAAAGAAGCTTAGGAACAAGTAAAATAGCATCTTCTAGCCATTCAGTTCATAGAGATGTTGAAGAGTTGAGTGCAAAAGCAGGGTGGGAGAGGGTAAAGAGGGGATAAATGGTGATGGAAGGAGACTTGACTTGTGAACACACAGTGCAATATACAAACTATGTATTATAGAAAATTATACACCTGAAACCTATATAATTTTTATTGACCAATGTCACCCCAATAAATTTAATTTTTTTAAAAAAAGAGTTGCGTGCAACAAATGTGTGAGGTAAGTGAACTAATCTGGGAATATTAGAAATAGGCCAAGGCAAGGCCACTCATACTTCTTCAGAATCCTTCTGACTGTTCTCACTTTTTTATTCTAAATGTCAAAACTAAGGGGGCGGGGGGGGAAGAAATAGGATTTTGATTGGTCATTTTAATGTGGATTTTGTTGAAGTCTTCCTTTAGGTCCTTTAGTAAAACTATATTTTTTCTTAAAAGAAAAGAGTTGAAAAAATTGTATGGGTCAATATTTTGAGATAAAAATTTTTGTATTCTACTTGAGTTTTGTTTGAGTTTTATAGATGCAGATCAATAATGAATTGGTTTCCTAAATATAAATCCCTTGTTCATTAAGAACTGACATTTCTAAACCTTGATGTTCAATCTATTTATACAATATCTGGACTTATAAAACTGTAGTTTAATTTTAAAAAGCAGGTAGGAATTATGTGAATAGGAATTGAGAATTCATTTCAACAAGCATACATTTAATACCTACTATGTCCGAACATTTAAAGCCTACTGTGTGCAAGCCTTTAGGGGACTAAAAGGTGAACAAGAAATCTCTGTCATTTGAGGACTTTGCTCTTTAGTTCATTGATGAGCTGAAGTGTCAGCTTCCACCAGTTCTTGGGTTTGTTTCTTTTAATAATGTCTCCTGTCTCTCCCTCCCAACCCCTCTCTCGTTAAAAGGGTGCAAAAGAGTTTGTGATACCGTCCAGGGAACCTGGAAAGTTCTATTCTCTCCCTCAGAGTCCACAACAGTTTAAGCAGCTTCTGATGGTTGGTGGTTTAGACAGGTGAGCTTTCCTTATGCTAGTAGTTGTCAGGAAAGGAAAAGTGGGATGGGAAGGGAAAAAGGAAAAAAAGTTGCCTGCATTCTTTTTTTTTTTTTAATATAGTTTTTATTTCAGAGAGGAAGGGAGAGGGAGAGAGAGATAGAAAAATCAATAATGAGAGAGGCCCTAGCTGTTTTGGCTCAGTGGATAGATGTCAGCCGCAGAATGAAGGGTCCCGGGTTCGATTCTGGTCAATGGCATGTACCTCAGTTGCAGGCTCAATCCCTGGCTCTGGTCAGGAAGTGTGCAGGAGGCAACCAACCAATGTTTCTCTCTCTCTGTCTCACCCCCTCCCTTCCACTATCTCTTAAAAAAAAAAAAATCAATGAAAAAATATCCTCTGGTGAGATTAACAAAAAAATTAAAAAATAATGAAAATCATTGATAGGCTGCTTTCTGCACGCCCCCTACTGGGCATCGAGCCTACAATCTGGGCATATACCCTTGACCGGAATCGAACCCGGGGACCCTTAAGTCCGCAGGCCAACACTCTATCCACTGAGCCAAACCAGCTAGGGCTACCTGAACTCTTAAAAGAAGGTTAGAAAATGTATGAGCATTTGGGAAATATATGCAAAATACTCTAAAAATATGTAGTCATTCTTTAGTAAAGATTTATTGGGTGGCCACTGTGTGCAGAGCTATAAGCTAATAAATGTGGCAGGGGATTCAAAATAGAATAGCTTTTGTTCTCAAGGAATTAATGAATCTAGACAGAATAGGATAATAAATAAAACCAACTGAGATATAAACAAAAAAGGAGTACATTGAGAGTTGCAGGGTAGATATTAAGAAGTTTGAAATTATATTGCTTGGGAAGTATAAAAACTTTGTGAGCTGGGCCTCCTGGGACAGAGTTCATTTCAGCAGATTGAGTTGAGAGTTGAATGGCATAGCACAGGAAAGCTCAAGTGTATTCATGGAGCAACAAGAAGTTCAATTTGGCCAAGGCACAAGAGTCTGTGTGAAGAAGCATGATCCGCCTTGCATGCCAGTCTCATATGTGAATATCCAAAGGTGCCATTGTATATTTCTAAAGCAATATATAGAATAGTTCAATTCTGGGTCAGCTATGTATGTAACTGATTAGATTAGGACATCGTAAGAATTTTTAAATTTCTTATATGCCCTTTAGGTACTATAATTAATTTACCTCATAGCCTGCACGGCTGTGAATTTTGGGGGGAAATGTGTGTATGTCTTATTAGAATCATGACTCAATTCATGCTATTTTTCTTTTGTAGATATTTTCAGGTTGCCAGATGTTATCGAGATGAAGGCTCGAGGCCAGACAGACAGCCTGAGTTTACGCAGGTACAAAGCTATATTCACTTGTCTCTTACTCATGCAGCCTCACTACAGCCCAGTGTCTCCAGACCAGGACAGTAGTCAGATAGACTTCTCATTACATTTTATCCATCAGATATTTAGTGAAACTGGCCTGCAGTGGAGGCATTCATTATTTAACTTTTGACATATTTCATGTGTCCTTTTTATAAGGATTTTGGCCACCAACTAAGGGATGCCAAAGATCCCATAACATTTTCATAGTCATGATAAAGTTCTTAAAACACCTCTTGTACATTAAGAACTAACAGTTCTGTATGTTGATATTTACTCTGCCTACTCTGAGCACTCATCAGAGCTGCTATGATTTGGTTTCTGTTTGGTAGCATATGAATCAGTGTGATGAAGCACAAAAATCATAAGCTTTGAAGGTGGACAGCCTGGGATCAAGTGTAGCTTTACTACTTACTAGCTGTACATACATGGGCAAGTGACTTAGCTGCATGAGGCATGGGTAGTCATAGGAACTAAACAAGGGGATGATGTATGTAAGCATTCGCACAGTACCTGACATAAAACAGATGTACAGCCCTGCCAGTGTAGCTCAGTGGTTGAGTGTCGACCTATGAACCAGGAGGTCACAGTTCAATTCCTGGTCAGGGCACATGCCTGGGTTGCGGGCTCTATCCCCAGTAGGGGGCGTGCAGGAGGCAGCGAATTGATGATTCTCTCATCATTGATGTTTCTATCTTTCTCCCTCCTTCTCTGAAATTAAAAAAAAAAATTAAACACAGATGTACAATAATATTTATTCCCCCCATGTATTAAGTACTTATGTCCAAAATCCTGTGGTAACTTAAAACCAGAGAATTATATGAATATATACACAGTAATATTATGGCTGTTCAAGTTAGTTTCCATGTGTTATTTGGTTTCAGATTGACATAGAGATGTCTTTTGTAGACCAGACCGGGATCCGGAATCTAATTGAGGGTTTGCTCCAGTATTCCTGGCCCAGTGACAAAGGGCCCGTAGGGGTGCCTTTTCCTTCTATGACTTTTGCTGAGGCTTTGGCCAGCTATGGAACTGATAAACCCGACACTCGCTTTGGGATGAAGGTACTTTTGACTCTTCAGTTTCCCAGGTCTCTGCCCCCAAATAGTCCCGCAGTCTTTTGAACCACTCTGAAATTTACAACCAGTTGCACACACTGTTGTATCATATTTTCTGTTGTTACCTTAGCTTGTTACCTTTGTTGTTTTGGAGCTACAGCAAGAGAGGATAATAGTCTGTTAGCATCGCAATACCTTTTTCTATCTACTATGTTCCAAAACCAATTTTCAGACAGCAAGATTCTTGCTATAAAGTTTATATTATTGATAAATTATCAATTATATGGACACAAATGATAACTTGAAAGGAAAAACAAAAAAACCCTGTTCTTTCCTCTTCAATTTTTCTTAAGCCAACTAAAATGGCACTTGGAAGGCCATTAAGAGATATTTATCCCTTTTTTGTGGTATTTAAAGAGCTCAAACCTATGGAAAATTTTTTCAAATTATTAAGGTCAATACATATTTAACTATAAGGGTCAGGGGAGGATGTACGTGGCACAGTTTCCGTTGGCAAGCCTCTCATTATTTGCTCTTAGAGAGCAACAGCCCTTTGTCTGTGTGATGCTGGTGACATTACCGCATCTGTTCTCAGTTCAGATGCCTCAGAAATTGAGTCCTGCCTCGTCTACAAATAGGCAGTACTCAGTTCTTAGATTGAAAAACATTTGCTACACAAAGTCCTAACTGCCTACTCACAGCTGATGCCAAAAAACAAAAATTTAAATATTCCAAAACAAACACTCCTTGTTTCTTGTTTTGGAATATGGAATAGTGGTTCTTAAGTCAGACTGCTTCAATTGTGCTTCTGCCACTACTAGCTGTGTCATCTTGGGCAAGTTTTTGCCTTCTCTGTGCTGTGGTTTTTGCATTTATTAAATGGGGATAATAAGAGTGCCTCCCTTATACTTTTGTTTTACGGATGAGATGAATTAATACTATTGAAGAGTACATTAGCACAGGCCATAGTGCCCAGCCCATCCATGACAATCACTCTATATGAATGCACTTTGTAGATGTTAACAGCTCTATTTTCTTTAAAAACTTGTTTGTAAATGTTTTAGTTACCCTTTTTTTAACCTGCTTTCCAGATTGTAGACATCAGTGATGTGTTCAGAAACACAGAGGTTGGATTTCTTCAAGATGCACTTAGTAAACCCCAAGGAACTGTCAAAGCCATACGCATCCCTGAAGGAGCAGTAAGTGAGGCACAATTCTGTGTGTTCTCTAGAACCTGTTTATGGGGAGTAAATATGTTTAACATGGGCATGTCTAAACTTCAGAAAGGACAGTCCTCTTTAAATGGGAATATAATCTATTGAAATAAACTCATAAAAATTGTTTTTTAAAAAAATGAATTCTTACATATCTTTATGTAAAGTCTAAAAGTGTCCCTAAAACTATGGAGAACAATAAAACCTGATGAATATGACTTTATACTCAAGATCTAGAGCTTTTTTATTTTTTTCCCTTTTAAACATTGCTGTCAAGTACACCTGCTTCATTTGGGGTCATTTCCACTACTGATGAGCATAACATTCGTATTCATATTCTGTCTCCAGCCTCGGTTTGTCCAGAGACTCTCAGCTTAACCCAGCATAACCCTTGCATGTTGGGTATTGAATAAGATTAGTATTTTGAAAGACTTCTCATTTGGATATATAAGCATATTAAGTATATTCAACCTGGGGATAAGAATGCAGTCTCTTAATTACTTCATATGTCCAGTGGAAAGTAATGTTGTGTCCATATTCTAGTCCAGACAGAATGAATGTACTCAGGTGAGCTCTGTGCAACATATATTGTTGTCATTATTTACCCCAATTTGAGGATGTCCATTCTTCCCCAAGTAGCTGATCAGACCTGCTGGGTCATGAACCCTGACTCCTCCTTTGTGTATCTCCCATACCTACTTAAGTGGCCCATGAATATTAGTTATGATGACATTGTCTTACTTAGAAAGACATTGAGATAATTTACAAAAAGTAAGATATAAAGAATTTTAAGAGACCTGAAATAATTAAATTATGAATCTTCGTATTGACCTGAAAGTTATATTTTCTTTCACAATTCAGAACGTAAAAATTAATTTGGAACATTTATGCTGCATATTACATGGAATACATGCACAGTTATTCCCAGTGAGACTTGCATACAGTGTTTGGAAAAAAATAAGCCCTGTAACAAGCTTTAAATTTTTGTTATTTGGCAGCAGAAATTAAATTTGTATTTAATCCTACTCTTGTGATGGAAAGACACAAAATATATTTGTATTCCCTTTGCTATCATAAACATGTTTATGAAGCTAAGTGTCATACTGTTGAGTTTACTTTGATTTTCTTTCATCAGAAATACTTAAAAAGGAAAGACATTGAATCCATTAGGAAATTTGCAGCTGACCATTTTGATCAGGTAAGGATTAATTAGAGCAGGTTTTTTCCTGTCTTTTAGGGATTCAATTTTTTTTTAAAATATATATTTTATTGATTTTTTTACAGAGAGGAAGGGAGAGGGATAGAGAGTTAGAAACATCGATCAGCTGTCTACTGCACACCCCCTACTGGGGATGTGCCCATAACCAAGGTACATGCCCTTGACTGGAATTGAACCTGGGACCCTTCAGTCCACAGGCTAATGCTCTATCCACTGAGCCAAACCAGTTAGGGCGGGATTCAATATTTTTAACTAATAATTGCTTGAGCTCTTTCACCAACATTAGTTTTGAGGATCTTGTTTCAGATCATTCTTCTACTTTTACTTTTTATTTTTAAATTTAACCTTACCTCTGGGTATAATTCTAAGACTTAAACTTAGTTGAACTCACCATTAATCAGAATGGAAGTTCAACCATAGCTTTTTAAAATAAACAACAGTACTTTAATCTGGTTAGGAAAATAAATAGAGCCCCATGTGCCCAAGATTTAAATGAAAGTGTGAAGGAAAGCCTGAATTAATTGTTCCTCCTGTACCCTTTTTAAAAATTCTGAATACAACTTTGATAGACACCTGTCTTCTGGGCTTGGTTAATGGTAGAACTAAAACGGGAGGAGCAGGAGTGGAAATGGGCATTCTTAACTCTCACAAGAAGTGGAAACTGCCTCCGCCATTATGGAATCAATGACTTTAAAAATAGTCATGTTTTTTTGAGTCATTAAAATCAGTGATACTTTGAAGAAAGGATCTAAAATAGAAGATTTTATGCTCCATTCACTTGCAACCTGCCAAAAATTTGCAGAAATCTCATCTACTGACATCCCTCCTGACCCTTCATTCTCTGTTTTTCATTATGAGATTGCTTTTTAAATTCCTTTATTATCATTTTGAAGGGGTTCAGGAGGGAATAGAGATAATCTCATGTAAGTTTTCTTCTATTGGGAACAAGAAATCTTTGTACTATAAGAAAACCCCACTTTTTTGAAAAATGTTAATCTTTTTCTTTGTCACAGGAAGTCTTACCTGTGTTCCTGAAAGCCAATAGGAACTGGAATTCTCCGGTTGCTAAGCTTGTGATGGAGGAGCAAGGACTGGGCCTGATCAGACGAATGGAGAACCAGGAGGAGGACGTGGTCCTGCTAACGGCCGGAGAGCACAAGAGAGCAGTAAGAGAAGTTACCTCCACGCTCAGTGCTGCTGGGGTTGAATGGAACCCTCTTCTCCTGTGCAATTAGTACACATTTGAAATTGACTGTTAATTTTATTAAATGGAGCTGCTCTGCATGAGTTTTTATATGAGTAAATATCACCTCACCCGAGGATATTTTTCCATTGATTTTTAAATATCAAGGTGAGAGAAGCACATCGATTGGTTGCCTCCTGCACGCACCCCCACCAGGAGTGGGGGGAGGAGCCTGCAACTGAGGCACATGCCCTTGACCAGAATTGAACCCGGGACCCTTCGGTCTGCAGGCCATCGCTCTATCCACTGAACCACACCGGCTAGAGCATATATGAGTAAATGTCTTTCAGCACTTTATAATGCACTGTATAAAAACTAGTTTCTTCCCGGCCTCTAGCCTCCATGGGCACTGCTCACAGACTGGCTGTGGTTCTGATTAGGAAAGCCACTTAGGTAGAGGGCTGTCAGGACTCGATGTATAACTATGAAAAAATATTTTCAAAGTTTTGCAAATTAAGAAAATTTGGTAGTCACTAACTTTTATACATAATGCATTCCTGAAAATGTGGAGGACAGGTCAGACTGCTGGAGGGCTGCTGGCTGGCAGACACCTGGCCCTACTTGATCATGGCAGGATCCTCTTCCTTGGAGCAGCTGCTGGGAGGTGGTGAGGGCTGCCAGGCACCGGCCAACTCACTGTTCTTCAGCAGAAACACGTAAGACTGGATGTAGCTGAATAGGCCATTGTAAAATATGCAGGAGTGGTATAGAAGTCAAACAAATACTGTAACTATACTGTAAAGGTCAAGAAGTACCACTGTTGTTACTATTATAAAGAGAACAGAGGCTGAGAAGTTAAAAATTTGCACACACACAGCTGGGATGTGGAGGAGCCAGATTTTTTCCCTAACCCTCAAAGTCTGGTTCCCAAAGATGTACTCTTAAGTTAACCTCTAATCCACCCTGCCTTTCTCCTAGCAGCAGGCATCGTTGAACATTAAGCACATGCCTGGCACTCCGCAGATCCTCATCACACCCTTCAGGGCAGTAAGGAAATCATGGGAGTAGGTGCCCATCATCTTGCACCGTACACGTCTTACCTCACTGTGTTGTCACCACAGCCTTCTGGAATAGATACTTTTATCTCCATTTCACTGTGGCAAAGGATGCAGAGATGTTAGTAGCAAACAGATCAGACTCAGGTCCATCAAGCTGGTACCTGTGCTCTCCATTCCCCAATCACTGAGGGTGACAGTCCTTCTCGGACCATTGAGTGTGTCTTCTATTACTTGGCTAATCCTTTCTCAGAGGATGGCCTGGCGTTAGAATCCACATCGGTCATTGCTGATGACTCTCCCAGCAGTTACCTCAATGTTCCTATCTTCTGTTTGCAGTGCTCCTTGCTGGGAAAATTACGGCTGGAATGTGCTGACCTTCTAGAAGCAAGAGGAGTGCTGCTCCGTGACCCAGCTCTGTTCTCTTTCCTTTGGGTGGTGGATTTCCCACTCTTCCTTCCCAAGGAGGAAAACCCCGGGGAGCTGGAGTCAGCCCACCACCCATTCACGGCTCCCCATCCCAGTGACATCCACCTTCTCCACACTGAGCCCGAAAAGGTACCATATCTGTGCTAGCAAATCAAAGGAACTGTGGGAAAAAACAAAGCAAAGAACTTCAGATTTCAGTCTGACCCAGTTCTGGAAGCCCCAGAAGAAACTGTCGGTTTGCATCAGTAGTTAACATTCTCTAATGTCGAGACTCTGCATCTTGTAGGTCCGTAGCCAGCACTATGACTTGGTTTTAAACGGCAGTGAAGTAGGAGGCGGTTCTATCCGAATTCACGATGCACAGCTCCAGCGCTACATCCTGGAAACGTTACTGAAGGTAGCATGTTCTAACCTGGCCTTGTTTGTGTCTGTTAAAATTTGTAATGAATGGAGGATTCACTAGATATAGGATAGTAGCAGCTTCTCTCTCTACCTTCAGTGTAAGTCTTTGAAAAGTAGGTAATAGCCGTTTGGCAGTGCTTACTATATGCCAGGCACTGCTTAAGAACTTCATAGGCACTGACACGTTTAATTCTCAGATGAATACCCAAATCCAGTGGTCTGTTCTTGGTCACCAAATTCAATGTCCCATTCTTTGCCCTTAATCTCTCCTACCTCCCAGCAGCATTTGACACTGTTGCTTCCTAATATCCCCCCTAGTCCCTTGACAGGACAATTCCCTGCTTTCATCCTACCCTTTGGAGCCATATCCTTGGTCTCACTGTTTGCATTATAAGTATAATAGCTGCACTTACTGAGCACCAGGCATTTCTCTGCAGGTTTTAATATCTGTGACTTGTCACATCACCTTGCTCTACTCTAAACCTCTTGAGGTCTTTTTTAACTCACCTTTGTTTTCCCTTTCACACCTAAATGCACTGTGGCGCTTAATGGACCCTCAGTATGTATTTAAATGAAATTATCTTTTGAATTTCAGGAAGATGTGAAATTGCTCTCCCACCTGCTCCAGGCTTTAGATTACGGGGCGCCCCCTCATGGAGGAATTGCCTTAGGTAAACAGTCTGCCCTTTTACAAGCTCAATTTCATTCACTGCACTGAAATTTGGGCTCAGCTTAAGCAGGGGCGGGGGTGGGGGGGGTGGAATAAAGGAGGTAGGGAGTGAGCCCAAGGGTTCTACAGAATTTATGTTTCGTTTTTATTTACCAGTTATAAAGCTAAAACTTAACTGATCATTTGCATTTGAAAGATTAATAGAATGGTCTTAGCTCAAATCCCTGGGGGCTCAGACACCTTGGTAGGAGTCTGGAAGCCCTACTGCCTAGCCCCAGCTTGTGTGAGTAGGAATGTGCCATGGCCCTTCTGATGGGCGAGGGTGCTCACCTTGCTTCTTTTATCAAGGAAGAGTGTGAGAAATTCCAGAAAGTTCACTAGATTGTGGACCCTCAACCACAGGGACCACCTGTGTTCTTAGAGATGCCTACACAGCACCTAATTTTGTTTAGCCTTTAGTAAGCCCTTGCTAAAGATATTACCTGCTGTCACTATTCATCCCAGTCCTGAGCATTTTTCTCAAGTGAGATAGAAAGTAACCTCAAAAGTTCTCTAAAAAGGCAGGAAACTATGCCTGGGTGCAACTTGGTAGAGATTCTTATGTAAATGTTCTCTGTAACCTTTGTAGAAAAACGAAGTCATCCCACCCGCAGGTTACATTCTCATCTGTTAACTGTGTTTTACTCACAGGGTTAGACAGACTGATATGCCTTGTCACTGGAGCGCCAAGCATCAGAGATGTCATAGCCTTCCCAAAGTCCTTCCGGGGGCAGGACCTCATGAGCGACGCCCCAGATTTTATCCCTCCTGAGGACCTGAAGCCCTATCATATTCAGGTCTCCTGGCCAACAGACGCAGAAACAGAAAAGAACTCATTGAATCCTCCGCACCATCCAGAAAGTTGAGCTTTTGGGTTTCATCCTCTGCTCCCTCTAGAGTTCTGCCAAAGATCTGACACGTCTCTAGGTGGAAGGACTCCAGGCAACATTCTTTACCACAATGAAGAAACAGACAGTACTCAATCTGGACCTGATAACATGCATTATTAGGATTTTTTGTTTGGGACTTTTTTGAAGTTTCTTTTCACTTGGAGAGGTGTGAAGGATGGCTCTTTGTTAGAATAATGTAATAGCTAAGCATCTTCTAATCATGTTTTCCCATACCCAGAGAGTAGGTTGTTCACTTGGGACAGGAGTAATCAGATCATGTGTGAAATGTGAGAAAATATTTGCCCCTTTAGACAATTGAGTTAATGGATGAGTCCGTTTAACCAACGTCAAGAAAATCCTGTAAATTAAGCTGGACAATCATCATAATATAGTGAAAAGCAACATAATATAATGCTAAACATCACTGAAATGAAACTCACAAAATCCCAGTCATTGCTTCACTTTGAGCAAGTTACATAGGCCTTGCTTAGTCTCCCTCCTGCTGTGTGAAATGCAAACAGAACTTGTCTGGCTACCTCTCAGGGCTCTTCTCCCAGAATCAGAGATCATGTACGCGGAAGATAATGTGAGTGAAAATGCTTTAGAAAATTATAATGCATGACACCAATGTATGACTGTCCACCCATCTGTAAACAGAAACAGGTACAGCTGTGGATTTTATGATTTAAGATTAAACAAAACTGATTACCTGTAGTAAAAGAAAAACAGTAAGTTTATTCAATATTGATTATACTTCTACTTTTTTAAGTAATCCCTGAATACCTTTTCCTCAATTGTACTAAAAACATTTACCTTAGACCAACCTCAAATGTGTAAGAATGAAAAAAAAAGTGTAAGAGTGAACACTGAGGCTCATTGTGATTTTCTTATATTGTGTGATTGGGGTCAAAGGGGGACACGTAATATTTTCAATAATAAAGATTTAGTTTTTTTAAAAGCTTATGATTAATCATTATAAAAATGGGAACAAGGGAGGCCTGAATAAAATTGTTCTTTTTGACATTATCTTTCACTTTTGCCTTGGCATTCTTTTGATTTATAACGTATGAACACAATCAGCCTATATCCCTGTCTGTTTTTCTCAAGTGTTCTAAGCAATGTGATACTATGATCTATTTGAAAATAACAGCAGCTTCACTTCCAGGTCTCATTTCAGCTGCTCAGTGGGCTGGGAAGAACATATATGCCCTTCCCAACTGCAGAAAGCTGTTCCCCTGAAGTTTGTCCTTAACCCAGTCTCTCCTCATCTGTGGGCCCTGAGGCCAGAAAATCCTTGTTGGCAGGGCTCTCATGGTAAGAAAGGATGTCCAACCCTGCCTGCCCTTTCTCAGTGGAGAGAACTTCTTGAGATGCCCTTTATTGGGCAGGAAAATGCAATTTTACATCTACTTATCCCACATGCATGTTACCTAATTTTTAATATAATAAAGTCACTATTCACTATTTAGAGCTTCATTCTAACCAAAATATTGTCTCTATGCTGGAGTTTCAGAAAACACCCCAAATCTGTAGGATGTTTTCTGGGCTACAAATACCAAAAGCCCCAGGTCCCCAGACGTCAAAAAGTCCCGAATTGGCATCTCAGAGACCTAGTCACTGGGGCATCACTCAGCGTTTCTTTAGTTCTGCCTCTCAGAAGAAAAAAATGCTTATCCGAAATTCAAAGAAATGTCACTATTTTAGATCTTAATCATTGAAGTGACATTTTAAACATTTTCTCAAAAATTAAGGAATATTAAGTTTGGAAACAACACAACCAGGACTTTGCAAACCAAACTAATTGTAAATTGGAAGCCAAATTTATTTCAAATTCAATCCCCAACCTCCTACGCAATTTAGATTTATTCTGTTGCAAATTTTAAAAACAAGGTAAACAACTGTTGGGGAAGGTCAGATGATGCCACTCCTGCTCAAAACCCTTCGGTGGTTTCCTATCTCAGAGGAAAGCCAGTCTTTATATGCGCACCAAGGCCCTGCAGAGCCTCTTACTACCTGACCACACTCTGCTCCACTCAACTGGCATCCTTTTCCTGTTCCAGGCATGAGCCCAGCGCAGGCCTTTGCCCTAGCTGGCCCGAGCAACTCTCCTCCAGATACTATTTGCTTTGTTCACTCCCTAATCCTGTCTGCTTAAGTGCTCCTCAGTGAAGATTTCCTGAACAACCATATTCAAAAGGATGAGCCCGTTCCCCACCAGCACCCTCTGCCCCTTTCCCTGTCGCATTAATCACATTTTAGTTTGCCACACTAGAATGTAAGCTCCAAGAGGGCAGATTTTGTTTTCACGTTGTCTCTGCAATTATCTATTCCCAGCACCTAAAACACTACTTGGTTATAGTAGATATTCAGTAAACATGTCGGATCAAATTATTAAATGAGTAACTAATACATGCGGACCTCTGGGCTGAGCTGAGGGGGCATGAAAATGAGTAAATCATGGTTTTCCTAGAGCAGGTGTTCCCAACGTGGGGCACACATCCCACAGGGGGGCAAATTTGATGATTAAGGAGGGCAATTTGAGAATGAGTTCACAGTGAATTTTTTGCATTTCTTATTGTCAAGGGCCTCATATACATTATATAAATATATATCATGACATACTTAGGCATTTCAGTTGTTTTGAAACTTTGCTATTTTTTCCTATCACTTCATATTTTTTTCAACAATTTTAGTGATTTTTTCCTCAGTACTTCAACTGTCCTTTCGTATGTTTTCTTTCATGGATGCCATGTTCTTTGGAAGCTTGTTCAGACCAAGTTAATGGCCTTTTAGGCTTCCTCCATGTGAACAGTTCACTTTTTGAATATGGATTATATGAGGGGGGAACAGATCAGGATTAAAGAGATGCTTAGGTGGGGAAAGGCCAAAAATAAGGTTGGGAACCACTGCGCTAGAGGTTTTAGTAAGGGAGAGATAAACAGATCATATTGATACGATTCAGTCAACTGTGAGGCCATGCAGAGAAGGACCAGCCTTACCAATAGGGAAGGCTCCTTAAAGCAGACCCTCAAATGCTGGCAGCTTGTTGCTGTGCTAGCTTCTTAGCCTTGACCTTTCAATGCTTGGGGTAAACCAGTCTCAGCTTTCTCATCTGTACAGCACAGCACACAACACTTCCTCTAGCTTTTTGTCTGGAATAAACATAACATTTACCATTTAAGCCCCAAGATGTTAAGGAGCTTGAGAATTCCTTTAATAAGATTTCCTTAAAAGCTGTGATAAGTTTTTAAGAACAAAGCATTGGTTTTAAATTATGGAACCCAGCCTTTCAGCCTGAATTTAAGTACAAGACACCTTTTTTTGGCAGGGTATGCAGTGAAACATACTCAAATTCCCCATGGTTGGCTGTGATGGGGTTGAGGTCAGGGTCAATGTGATCTTTTCCTCAACTTACAAGATATCCATTTAGTAAATGGGTGTAACTTTTCAGGGGCCCAAATCAATGATATTGGAAGTATAAAACTGGGAACCAGGGATTCAAACTAGTTATCAGTGCTGTAATAGCACCTCCCACACCTCCCCATGATTTGACAGGTTAGAGTTACAGGTTTCTGGAATGAGGGCACATGATAGTCCAACTTCCCACTGGTGTTCACCTAAGGTCCCATTTTTAAACCAACCTAGTCCCACTTTTGGATACAGGGTTTGTCTCCCCAACTTTCTGTCAAAGCAGCTTTCCCTTCGAGTACACCACTGGGACTTTCAAACCGACTAGTCTTTCCAGAGTGGTTTTGGCCCTTTCCCACACAGGGAGATCCTTCAGTTCACTACAAATACGTTGCCGTATATTGACTGTTATGTGAAATCACAGCTCAAAAGTGAGCTGGAATTTGATTAGCAGGCATTGACTAGGATTTTCTAAGCTGCAAGAAGCCAGTTAATGGTTTCTTAGAGAAATTCACTGGCAACCCATTGGATAACTAATGTTCTCACTTGACCTAATATATGCCTCCATTTTATTTGCAAAATTAGTTGATCTTCTAAAGATAAAGGACATTGCTATAACCACAGTACCAACCTCAAAATTTTTCAAAATGCCCCCTTGTTCTTTCTAGGCTCTTTCCTGTTGGGGGATTCATCCCTGAGACAGCCAATCAGGGAGACTCACATGAATTTTAGCCAGAGACCAAGCCCCAAGGTGTTTACAGCCAATGGAGGTTTCTAGCTTCAGCACTCTACACATTAAGATCACCTGCTTTTCTTTGCAATTATGTCTGTGTAAGCTCATGTTTCAATGGCTCACTTGCCCATTTTGGGCAGTAAGGGAAACACTGAGGAAGGTCTACAGTTTATTTCTCAGCATAAACTGCACTTGCAAAGACTAAGACATCCTATGAACCTATGAAGTACACATGAAAAGGTCGATTGGCAGTATGCTGCCATGGGGTCTTACTCACAAAAATGTCCTATTTTCCTTCCTTCATCCCATTAAGATGAAATAAGCAGACTTGATCAGATGTTTTATAAAAATTTATTAAAATTCAAAATTGATCTTCTGTCCCATGAGTATCCATCCAGCTGCCTGCAATAAAATAGCCACTTTTAGTCAATTTCCATACTTCAATTCTAATGGTACTTGAAGTACAGTATACAGAATATCAGATCTTCTTTCATCATCAAGTAATCAGTGAGAGAGTTCAAGTTGGGTTGAGATCATCATGTATTCTGGAATAAAACCACAGCATTGATATTTACAAGACTTACCTCTCAAAGGTCAGCCAGCTGCCATGACCGCTACCATAAATGCCTGAAAGCAAAGAATGCACATTAATCATGGTCAAAAGAACTTGTGTGATGCTTGTCAGTAACGTAACCTCAGAATAAAAATGGAACGGTAAATGAGTGATATCATCCTATTTCATTTGGCAGAATCACTACATCACTGGTTACATTCTAACTTATCATATATAACAAGTATCATATATTACCTGGAAATCTCCATGGTTTCAGGTCTGCCTGTTTGAAGATTGAAAAAAAGGACATTTATTAGAAATATACCCTACCAACATTTTTAACTTCTGGAAAAATAATTTAGGGCAGTGAGCACCTTCTGTATAGCTCAATGGTGAATGTTCCACCACAAGTGAACCCTAATGTAAACTATGGACTTTGGGTGGCAATTATGTGTACTTGTGTTAAGTCCGTAAGTTTAACAAAAGGCTCACTCTGGTGGCTGGATGTTGACCATGAGGTGTGCAATTACAAGGTATATGGGAACTGTACTTCAGTTTTGCTGTGAATCTCAGTAGCAAAATTAAATTTAATGAATTAAAATATGAAAACGGCTAAATAATTCAGGTATCATCTACAGATTTATATGCCATAAAAACTTGTTCACAAAGTGTTATTAACCTGCACCTCTCCAAATGTGTTATTAATCCCCCATTACCACATAGAACGTTTGGTGTAACACATTAGTTATCCAAACCCCGGAATGTTTTGTGGGAACATGGCCAATCCCTTTTTGAGGTTATGATTGTTGCAGCCAGATACATCAGATAGGAGCGAAAGACAATATTGCTCATCACTATTAGTCTGCTGAACTATGTTATCATCATTGTATCGGCTTTAAACCACTTAAAATAGAAAGAAACCAAAATCAAAACTACCATACCTCTGCTAAAACTCTTTACTCCTGGACTTGTAGCCAACCCAACTTCTCACACCTGCAGAAGTATTTTCAAATTTAGTAACAGGTAGTAATAGGAAAATTTATAAAATGTTACAGGTACTGTTTCAGTTATAAAACAAAATCTTCATTCTTTTTCAGAGAGATTCCCATCTGTTTTTTTTTTAATCATCACTAACAGCACCTTACTTAGTAACTATTTGAGATTAACAAAATGCATACCTTAATTTAAATGTCTCCAAAACGTGCATCTGAAAAAGTAAGTATTTATTTAGACTATATTTCTCAAATCAATGGCTTTGCACACCACAAAACACTAACAGTCAACAATTACTAAGACAAGCACATTTTAGCAATATAAATCTGTACCAGAAGCCAAAATCTGTTGTCATGTCTTACCCCAAGCATGCCATCCACGGATAAAAATGTGTATCCAACAGCTAAAAGGGAAACAACATTTTTATTAATGTTAAATATTATTAAATTCTTTGCTTATTGTTATATGTCACAGGGTTCTTCAGTGTTAGAGTTGTCTACATGCTAATTTCAGGTCAGACATTTGATCAACATCATTACAAAAACCCCGTTCAAAGCATGCGCAACATGCACTCAACTAATCAAACACACAACATAAGCATTAGGAGCTTGGCAGTTATGCAGTGCATTTTATCACATTCTCAGTTTTAAGTCAATTAGAATGTTTTTAACAATACTTACAAGAAGTAAGTCAAGCCACTCCAGACATGTTAAGAGACTAAGTCCACCTAAAAAAAAAAAAGTGGTTTTCCAATAGCCAAAGATGAATTTTCTTCTCAACAATCTAAAAAATGCCTGAAATCAGATAGAGCTAATTAAGACCTTCACATTCAGTCAGTATTTGCTTATCATCATACAGGCTTTTACATATCCAGACATCTTAGGAATGGTGACAGGATAAGGACTCCCACCTTTCAAGCACTCCCTGGTGTTTCCTGTGCATTAGAAGGAAACCCTCAGAAGCTACTGGTGGCATTGTTGTATTTGTCCAGTTACCAATGTGAAGTTATAATTTTACTTACCATTCCAACTTCCAGTTAGTTCTTTTTAGTGCCTACACAAAAGGAAAAGCAAATTAGTAGTGGCACTTTGCTTATGCTATTACCAGCAAATGTTTTGTAACAGATACATCAGACAAGTGGTACATTTCTTCAGAATTCAATCTGCTGAACTATGCAAGCATCACAGTATCCGTTTCTTTAGGTGTCCCCCAACATTAATTAGTGCAGGCGTTCACCTTTAAAAAGGGAAGGAGGAAAGCCCTGAGGATCAGCACCAATTTGGCAATATGTGATCCCTTAGAAAAGTCTTTGAAAAGTCCTGGGTAAATAAGATCGATATATAAAAAGGTTTCTCACCTGTCTGCCCATGGCAATAGAGTGATACTTGCACCATAAGACCTGAGAAGGGAAGAGTTTCAGGTCAACTTTGGTGCAATCTTTATTTTCTCTAAATCACCATTTTGTGTGCCTCAGTTAGGATAATGGTGGTAATACTTCTCGTCATACTCACAGTCGAGAGTAGCAAATAAAATGTCATCATTGTGGCACATGGGGTGTACCTTTAACCTAACTTCCCTGCCTGAAAAAGCTCTCGGTTCACTTACCCCAGCAGCGGTTCTCATTCCTTTGGCACAGAACTAGAAAACAGACAAAGAGATCCCAATGAAGCATACTACACAGCCACGTTAAACATTAATGTCACCAATTCTGAAGCCTCAGAATAGGATTTGTCAGAAACTCCTTCTGTCCACTACTCTTAAACCATCACAGGCTTAACAAAAAAAGACATCTAGGCAAATTTCATCCTTCACACCGTATTTACCCGATTCTTACCTGTCCGTCAGATGCCACATTGCACTCGTGCCGAGCATCATTCCTAGGGAAAATATTAGCTTTAGTTCATTTTGTTCTAAATTATGCAAGTGGTTTACATCACCCACAATTTCATACTATAATGGGTGCACTCGATGTATTATAACGAGAGCACTGTACAGCTAAGTTTAAGAACCACTGACGGCAAAACGGTGCAATGCGGAATGCAGCCGCTCAGAGAACCACGTGGGCTACCCCCATACCCGCCTCCCTGGAGGAAGTGGCTCCGGCCGAGGTCATTTACAAAGACCCACTCGGTGACTCGGCATGCGCCGCCATCAGAGCTGTTGGCATTCATCAACAGTCTCAGATGTCCCTACCAACATAAGCTTCATCAGAGGCAGGGCACGCCAGCCGAGGTATTTCCGCAATTGAGCCCTACAACCGAGTGCTGAGTTTATGTCAAGCCCGCACCCAACGCGCAATCCTCTACAATCCTCATCCTGCAAAGGCTTGCAACTAGCCCATAAAAGTCAGCGCTTTTAGGGCGACTTTAGTTGCCATGACCTGGAGGCCTTGAGCCAAGAACCCACTTAGCACCCGCGAAAACATACACACGTACCAGTTGCTACCTTCCATCCTCGAAAGACCGAGATGGCGTCCGGGCGCCTGTATATAAGGAATTCGTTCCATGACGTCATGACGCACTTTCCCCGCCTGCGTCGGCTTTAGCTCCTCCCCCACTCCTCCCTTAGTCTCCTCCTCCAGCCACACCTTCGTCCCGGCCTCTCTGCCCGCCCTTGGCCCCACCCCCTCGGCTTGTGGGCGGGGTCACGATGGCCAGCGTGACGCTGAGCTCCCACCCTCCAAACCGACTGAGGAGGAAGACAGGAGCGGGGAGGGGGCGCGGGGACGGAAAGCGCTGGGGGAGGGGGGAAGGGGACGGTAGAAGGGTGAGTGATTTCCTTCCGGCACGTCGCCCGCTCCAGGGGAGGGGGCGGGGGTTTTCACTTCCGGGACGGTGTTCCGGCCCATTCCTGCCCATTTCCACCCCCGGAGGTAGGTGCTGCTCCTTGACTGGGCCGGGGCCCGCACGCCCGTCCCGCTGCCCTGCCCTGGGGCCGCCCCGCCCGATCTCCCCCGCCTGCCTGCTCCTGGGGCGCTCAGCCACTTCCCTCCACTCCCACCCTAAGGCACCCGAGACCTGCCACCCCCTTGGCCCCGGGCCGGGCTGGGCTGCCGGACCCGCCCCCTCGCCGAGTCCCTCCCTCAGGACCCCGGGATGGGCGGCCCCCTCCCCCACCCCCACCCGCCACACCCAGACACACACACCCACCTCTGAGCAGCTCTCCGCCCGCCCACACCTACCGCCTGGACCGGGTCCCGGGGCGCCGCCCCCTTCCCGCTCTGTACCCCGCACCTGATGGCCCGCTCCCAGGCCGCGCGCCCGGCTCCCCCCGCTTCCCCTGCTCCTCGGTGACAGTGCGCGGCTCAGTCAGTGCCCCGCTCCCCGCGCTTCCTCACCCGGACGGAAGCCACTCGAGGACCGGAGTGGCCCACCGCACGGCGTTCCGATTCTCCTCTTCCAGCTCCCACTCCTCCAGCGCCGACGGTAGTGCAAGACCCTGCTCCAGGGGCCTCCTCCACTGGGGCACTGCCGGGAAGAACAAACAAAAAGGCGCTGGTGTAGGCTCCAAAACACACACATCTGAATTCAGGATGGCATCGACAGAGGCTCTTACTGGATTAAAAGTTGTCAAACAAACAAAAACGCTTTGGAAAAAGGTCAGATTGGCTACAGTTGGTTCTTGAAAACAGTGTATGCACTTCCCTGTTTAACTGACCGGTGTGTTGTGAATGCCGGGCAGTCCTGTGAGCTTGTCAGATAAATTCCTGAAGTTTCAGGTCTTCGGTAACTATGTAATGTCCTAACTTTACAGAGAAATGGAAACACATTGGGCTCCAGTTAGTGTCTTCCCAGTGGGGTGTATATAAAACTACTCCCAACCATGGAAAGCTGTTGGATGCGATTATAGGCTTAGTGTTTTTAAAACCTTTTAATGTAAAAATACTGGCCATACTTGGTAAATGCTCTATTTTTTTTTTTTTACCAGCTTTGGGGAACTAAATGTCAGAATCAAAGTACCATCCCCACCCTGAAATTTCCAACTTTGAAATTGGATTATTTAGATAGGAGCAGGTATACCTACCTTTTCCTAATTCTGAGAGTGAATGTCAAGTCTCCTCATCTCAGTTGAGTCCTGTGGCACCTTTCCTAGAGTTTGCCTCCAGTGCTAAACCTCAACCCTTTTTGTGGGGGCTCCGGTGCATCCTTAAAAATAATGGCTTGCATTCCTGTGGGATAGTAGTGACTTTGTAAAAGAATAAACTCACACAAGTAGTAAAATATTAAGAAGAGGCATATCTAATCGACCTATCTGTGCATAATCACATTGATTCAAAAACTTATTTCCTCCAAGGAAAAGTTGTCATAGGATTTTATATTCAGTGCAAATACCTTATGATTAATGCTTAAAAAAAAAAGAACTCACAACTGCTTTCCCCCTCTCTGTTCTGTTGAACTCTATTTTGATGTTGCATAGCTTATTAGTAAGGAAAGTATGGGGATAGCTTAAATTTTTAGAAATCTAACAATCACTTTTGTGTGTGTGTGTGTGTGTGTGTGTTTAATATATTTATATTGATTTCAGAGAGGGAGAGGGAGTGGGAGATAGAAATATCAATCATGAGAGAGAATCATTGATCGGCTGACTCCTGCATGCCCCCTACTGGGGATCAAGCCCACAACCGCACATGTGCCCTTGACCAGAATCAAACCCGGGACCCTTCAGTCCGCAGGCCTATGCTCTGTCCACAGCCAAACCTGCTAGGGCTAACAATCACTTTTTTGGGTTTAATGGTGTCTTGCTGTGAAACCTAGACTGAAAAAGCCTGTTGGTTTTCCTGTTCCATATCTAAACATAAGGCAGGTGTCTCTTTTTACTGGGAGATTTTGAAATTTTGCCAAATGATGTTTTTAAACACGTTTGAACTGGAAAGCATGAGGGGCATACAATTCTAATTGTTCATGAGAATCCGGTTTCCTCTTTCGCAGGGTTGAATGCCTGCCTACACCCTCAGGCCCCACCATGGAGAAGGGTGGTAACATACAACTGGAGATCCCTGACTTCAGCAACTCTGTCCTGAGCCATCTAAACCAGCTGCGATGGAGGGCGGCTCTGCGATATCGTGGTCAACGTGCAAGGACAAGCTTTTCGGGCTCACAAAGTGGTACTGGCCGCCAGCTCTCCCTATTTCCGGGATCACATGTCCTTGAACGAGATGAGTACTGTCTCCATTTCGGTCATCAAGAACCCCACTGTTTTTGAACAGCTCCTTTCTTTCTGTTACACAGGGCGGATATGCCTGCAGCTGGCAGATATCATCAGCTACCTGACAGCTGCCAGTTTTCTGCAAATGCAGCATATTATAGACAAATGCACACAGATCCTAGAGGGCATTCATTTCAAAATTAATGTGGCTGAGGTCGAAGCAGAATTAAGTCAAACGAGGACAAAGCATCCAGAGAGACCTCCGGAGTCTCACAGGGTTACACCAACTCTAAACCGCTCCCTTAGCCCACGGCAAAATGCCCCAAAGGGAAGTCGGCGAGGTCAGGTTAGTGCTGTGCTGGACATCAGGGAGCTCAGTCCTCCCGAGGAGTCCACCAGCCCTCAGATCATTGAACAGAGTTCTGATGTAGAGAGCCGGGAGCCTATTCTTCGGATCAACCGAGCAGGACAGTGGTATGTAGAGACAGGAGTAGCAGACCGAGGGGCACGGAGTGATGATGACGTGAGGGTTCTTGGGGCAGTACACATCAAAACGGAAAATCTAGAGGAGTGGCTGGGGCCTGAGAATCAGCCCTCTGGAGAAGATGGGAGCAGTGCCGAGGAAGTCACAGCCATGGTGATTGACACCACGGGCCATGGTTCCATGGCACAGGAAAATTACACTTTAGGATCTTCAGGAGCCAAGGTGACTCGGCCAACAAGCAGTGAGATTGACAGGTAAGTTTTGTTTTGTTCGCCCATCTAACAGCTGTTGTACAGACATAACTAAAGCGAGCCCCCTGTGTGGTACAGAGAGCATCTTCCTTCCTTGATGCTCTTAGCTGAAATAAGTTTATGTTGGGGAAACTGGAGGTGTGCCAAAAGGCTTGCATTCTTATTTTTTTAAAGCAGGAAGCTCCTTGCCCTGGCCAGTGTGGCTCAGTTGGTTGAGCATCATCCCATGCACCAAAGGTCACTGGCTTGGTTCCGGTCAGGGCACATGCCCGGCTTGCAGGCTCAATCCCCGGTAGGTGGTGTGCAAGAGGTAGCCAATTGATGTTCCTCTTTCATTGATGTTTCTCTCCCTCTCCCTTCCTCTCTCTCTAAACATCAATAAAAACATTTTTAAAAAATAAAAATAAAGCAGGAAGTTTCTAGTCCTGAAGAATTCAGTGTTACGAGAACTATGGTAAAATTAGACACTTCCATGAATCAGAATAGCATCTGCAGCCACACTGTATCAGTAATTAGCAAGGCTTTCTTGGAATTCCAGGTAGAGGGCTGGTCATCAGCTGGGAACCTGGCAGGTTTGCCCTTCTTCCTTGTGTTATCACCCAGGTAGGTGGTCTCAGGGGAGTTTTACTTGCCTTTGTAGTGCTGTTTACTTTTCTTTGCTTCCCACCTATCAAGTTAGAAGGGGTATGGTACCAGCAGTAATTGTTCTTTTTAAATTAGTGTAATCACAATACAGTTATTCCAAAGAAAAGCTTTGGACATGGTTTTTATTCCTTTCTTCACTTGTCATTTGATGTCTTCCTTTTGTCTTTCATTGGTGACTGCTATCACAGGTCCAAGAGTCTGTTTTTTCACCAGTGCTGCTAGGTCCCATGGCTCCCATTTCTCTTTCTAATGGTAATTAGAGCATTTCTTTTTGGTGGAGATAGCAATAGTTTTAATTTAAGTAAATTTAAAGATAGTTTCAGTTGAAAGTATTGTCCTGGCTGGTGTGGCTCTATTCTATTGGTTGGGCATCTTCCCATGCACTGAGAGGTTGCAAGTTCAATTCCTTGTCAGAGCATATGCTTGGGTTGCGGGCTTGATCCTCTGTAGAGGGCGTATAGGAGGCAGCCCATAGATGGTTCTCTCTCATCCATCTTTCTCTCTCCCTCTCTCTCTTCCTCCCGCTCTCTAAAAATCAATAAAAAAAACATTTTTTTAAAAAAAAGAAAGTATTATCAACTTAGATTGATCATATATGTTCTTTTCCCCCTTTTAAAAATAAATTAAAATTGACTGCATGGACAATGAAAGTTTAAAAAGTTATAACGGTTGGTTGATACCTGGTCTTGAGAGACATATCAGAAGTAATAGCTTAATGCAAAGACTGAATCTCCATGATCTACTATATCAAAAGTCTGAAATATATAACAAGTTATGTTAGGGCCTAAAGGAAGGAACAACCAAAAACCTAATCGTTACATAGAACCCAGTTTTAATTTATTCTTTTATGGTTCCCAATACTTACATAAGGATAGAACTTATATTTAGCTTTAGCTTCCCTAGGTCATATGGTCTATCTCATATGTAATTCTGTATTTCTTAAATTTACTACGGCAAACCTTTCTTTAAAAAAAGACAAAAAAAACCTTTCTTGTCTTATTTCAAATCAGATCCTATTATTGACTCCCTGAAAGTATTTCTTAGTCGTCTGTTGTTCAGTTTGTTCCCCTTCTCTCAGCCATGGGATAAAGAGGATAAACATCACCATTTTCTAAGTTCCTTGACACTGCTCTTCTGTTAGTCCCCTTTTGCTCCTCTTCCGACAGATTTAGCCCCTCCGGCAGTGTTGTCCCCTTGGCGGAGAGACACAGAGCCCGAAGTGAGTCTCCTGGGAGAATGGATGAGCCTAAGCAGCCCAGCTCCCAGGTATGTAGTTGTGATGGCTGAAGCAATTGCCACTGTGTGAATCCGGCAGGAAAGATGTAGGACAGGGAACAGGGACCCTGTTAAAGAAATATTCTCCTTGATTACTTTTTTCTTTATTCCTGTTTGCAAGCATGCAGGAAATGCACTTTTGGTGTCAGCAGAGTTTGGGAAATAGAAAAGATGAGATTGCGGAACTCTTTTCTGAACCAGTCTTTAGTCCTGAGAGTAGAAATAAAAAAGTAACCCCTGAAAAGGAAATGCAGGAAATGCAGGACCTGAGATGGAGAGCCTGATTCTGTACGTGTGGTGGGTATAACACTACATAATTACTACTTTATGTAATAGAAAATATTTGTACACAGCTGCTTTTGCATTTTTATATGCTTACATCTTTTCATTTATTTTCTTCCTGAATCTTTTGTTAGACTAAAATGTTTTAGAGAAGATAGGAATTATGTCTTCTATTTTCTTTGCAATTCTCCTTAGCAAGTAGCATAAGTAGTTGGTTGATATTATTGTTTGTTTGTTTTTCCTCACAGGTCTCTATCATTGAAGATTTATTTGTAAAAGGACAGTAGACCTCACCAAGTAGAACTTAATACGTTGTAAACACTTTTGTCCTTTGAAAGAAAACACTGGTGGACTAAGATTGCATAGCTAATTTTTTTAGCTTCTGCATTATACTGGTAGTATCTTGTTTAGTTTTTACTTAAACATTGGACATTTAGTGTGTATATATTATAATAACAGCAGCAAGACATTGTTAGAAACTGCATTTACTTGCATGTTACCATGCCAGTTTTTCGGTACCAGAAAAGGAATTGTAACTATTATAAGGTTTTTTTTAGTTTTAATAAGGTGTTAGAGAAAATATTAGGACCTTGGAGGGAAAGTTTACTCTTAGTATTAGGGTCCTTTTTCTCTCATCTTTCAAAAGAATGTGATGACTATGTGAAGGTAACTATGATGCAAATAAATATGAGACAGACCTTATAACTTAATGGGGGCATAAGGCAGACTAACACATACACAAAACAGATATAGATGAGACTATATAGACCTCATTAACAGTGTTGTGGGAATAGAGTGCTTAAAAGGCAGTTACTGGAATCAATAACCACTTAAAGAAAGTGGAGAATTTAAGTGCAGTATTTAATGAAGTGGTTAGAAAGAGGTAATTTAATGCATATGTAGATATAATAGGGATAACAATTGGAATTCTACAAGGATGTTTACCCGACTAAAGCAGAAGGTGCAGACTATAAAGAAATAGAAAATAAATAATATTGTTTGGAGATGATATTAAGAGATGAGTTAAGCCGAAACCGGTTTGGCTCAGTGGATAGAGCGTTGGCCTGCGGACTGGAAGGTCTGGGTTCGATTCCGGTCAAGGGAATGTACTTTGGTTGCGGGCACATCCCCAGTGGGAGATGTGCAGGAGGCAGCTGATCGATGTTTCTCTCTCATCGATGTTTCTAACTCTCTATGCCTCTCCCTTCCTCTCTGTAAAAAAATCAATAAAATATATTTTTTAAAAAAGAGAGAGATGAGTTAATATGACATGTGTGAGAGTTTAGATGATGCAGATAAATGAACATTTCCATCGAAGTACCTACCTGATTATCTAGATATAATTGTAGATTAGCATTCAAGAGGATGGTATGAGTGGGCCCAGATTCTTCTATTGCTGTACAATAGATCATTTACTGGAGGTTCCATAAAAAGCGTGCAGTTTGTCAGCCAGAAAGTAACTTGAGTTTCTTGTTCTGTTATGGTAATGGAATACAGTGTCCTCATTTTTTTTAATTGTTATGTTAACAACTTTACTTGTGGGTAGTAATTTTCTGTTTGGATCTCTAAAATCAGCATAAAGCTTAGTAACAGAGGTAAAAGTAAATTTGATTTATTTTAGGATTCACAGTGTATGTTCTTTTGTGCTTATTTTCCTCACCTGGCACAGGTAGAAGAATCAGCAATGATGGGAGTAAGTGGCTATGTGGAGTATCTTCGAGAGCAAGAAGTATCTGAGCGGTGGTTCCGGTACAATCCCCGTCTTACCTGCATCTACTGTGCCAAATCTTTCAACCAGAAGGGGAGCCTGGACCGGCACATGCGCCTGCACATGGGGATCACACCGTTCGTCTGTCGTATGTGTGGCAAGAAGTACACCCGCAAAGATCAGCTGGAGTATCACATCCGCAAGCACACAGGCAACAAGCCCTTTCACTGCCATGTTTGTGGCAAAAGTTTCCCCTTCCAGGCCATCTTGAATCAGCACTTTCGCAAAAACCACCCTGGCTGCATCCCCCTGGAGGGGCCTCATAGCATCTCCCCTGAAACAACTGTCACATCTCGAGGACAAGTCGAGGAAGAGTCACCTTCACAAGAAGATACAGTTGCTCCTGGGGAAACTGCCCAGGGCTCTGTGTCCACCACTGGGCCAGATTGAAACATCGAGGGGGAGGGGGCAGACCCTCTTCCCCATTGGACCGTAAGCAGCCAGCATCAGGGCCATGGGCTGGTACTTCGATTCACAAAATGCCACATCACTAGATCGGAAGATGCTCCCAAGATGTTGCCAAACTAGAGGATCAGCAACATACACAGAAGCACTAGAGGCTTTTCCCCCCCTCCTTCCCACCTCACACTTTGGAAAATATCAAGCAAATCAACTTTCTAATTCAGGGATCAACAGCCTTGGTTTGTTAACTTTATAAGAAAAAAATTTTTTAACAAAACAGTGATAGATGCTCATTTATCTACCAGTCACATTTGAACATTGTCCTTTGGTCCATGTCATCCTGGTGGCTGTCACTCACCCAGATCTAAAAAACCCAGCAGGAGCCTTGGTCATCGGAACCAGCCAACCATATGAGGGAATTTCCTTTCTTCCTTTCTGCCAGAATGTGCAGCTTCAAATTTCAAGGGGAAAAAAAAGAATCCTGGTGCTTCTTATTGTTTTGAAAGGTTAGACTTATCTTTGCTCTGACTAGGCATCTGCTGCGTGGTCATGTTTCCGGTAACAGCCATGCTGGAGGCAGCATCTGCTGAAGCACTTTAGGCAGCTGAACGTGAAACGGCAGCAGTGTTTGCAATAGGTACCACTAAGCTTGGGGCCTGGAGTGCTGGGTTGAGGTGAGGGGAGCAGAGGGAAGTTTTGGGTTTGCAAACGTGGAACAGTACAGAGCCTACTGCAACTTACTGCTTGGTATTTGTAAACCACCGTGCTTGTATATCTTTGGATATTAGGAAATGGCTCTAGTCCGGATGAATTAACGTGTTAGGCTGACTACCAAAGTTTCCTCCACTTTCTTTGGCTCCTAGTTTCACATAACAGCAATAGTATACATCAGAAATGTCCCTTTCCAGTGAAATGAGCCTGGATTGTATTTTTAAATCCACAGGTCTCCCTATTTGATAACTTTTATATGAAGTTTTAAACACATTTTTTCTGCAGCATTCTGATTGAAGAAATTCAACACTATGGTTCTTATTGCAGCCACAATTCCATTTCCTCTTATATAAGTAATAGTTTATATTTTCAGTCCAATAGAAGAACCTCACTAAATCCATGTCTCATGTCTGCAAACCTAGTAATTCATAAACCAACCATCAGCAAATTGCTGGTGACTCCAAGAGCTTTGCTTTTTAATATAGTACAGGGCATTTACCAGAAAACATCAGGCACAATCATGTTGCAATAAATTGATCAAGGCATCAGTTTTGATCAGGTTTGATTACTTAATCATTCCTAAGATTTTTTAAAACTTCAGGAGACCTTTTTGGTAATTCTGAGATTCTTACTCCAGCACTGAGAGTCAAGAGGAATTTACCAAGTGTGTAGAGCTTTAGATGCCCGATTTTGTATGCAGAGAATGAGGGTGGATTTTTAAGGGATGCAGGCAAGTAGATGCTTACAAGTTACAGTGCAAATAGAAAGGAGAAAAATCTCTAGCTTCTCTTAATGATCATTAAGATGTTAAGATTAGTATTTAAATGCATAGTGGTTTAAGAAATTGTCTTGGTGCAGAGGCATAGATGATTGTTAAAGGGATTTGGAAGAGGGCCTGGTCATGCCTGCACTGGTGAGCCATTTGTGAGTTAGTAGTGCACTCCCTTCCTGAGAATGCTTTGTGATAAGTGGAAAGGGGGACAGGAAAGGTGGCATTTCTTTGATGATAGGATGTTAAATGCAAAGGGTAATTCTTAAGCAGTCTAAGAATTGTACATACACATACAGCTGCACTGTATCACTAGAGAATGGTTATTTTTTCTCTTTAGAAAAACAGAAATGTGTCTTTTAATAGGAATGTAACAATGCTATCGTATGTTAAGAGCCTACCCTTAAACGTTGTTTTGGAGTGTATTTTATCTTTATAAGACATTGATCAGGACACCATGATAAGGTAAAAACTCTTGCCTAGGTCCATCTTAAGGACCAACTAGGCTCTGTGACCTACAAAAAGTAGAGTTGAAATGAGACTAAAATCTATAGGGAAACATTTCAGCTGGTAATCAAGGCTTTCAATGGACAGATCTTGCCATAACTAAATAGGTGAAAAGTACAGAATATGCTGCTTTAGCTGGAGCTTTTAAGCCTACCAAAAAAATATTAAGTCAATCTTATGTTTGAGAAGTAGTATGCTGGAAAGTTATTGCTTTGCTAGTTTTCTTAGATTTTATGTGAGAAAATAGAGCTTTTTAAACTATTACCAAATTGTAAAGGTGAAGTGCAGTAATTTCTGTAAAGAGAAACTTTGCAGCATTTGTCAGTATATACTCTATCCGGGGTTGGCAGCAAACACTTTGAATGCAGTAGAGACTGTCCAATAGACATGGAAATACTATGAGTGCTTGGTGGGTTCCTCACCTTGTCACTCATTTCTAATAGCTTTTGCTGTGTTAATACTGTGAATAGTGCCTCCAGGTCGTCTAGGACCTCGTCAGCACAATTGTCTTTGCTGGTTCTCTCCTTTTCGCTGGTCTAGACTACAGCCAGGAGGTTCGTGAAATTCAAGTTTCCGAAAGCAATTTTCCCATTTTAGCTAGGAGAGATATTGTTATTCTGAATACTTATCCATATTCTTCTCCAGGTTCACTGTGACATTGCCCTAGTTCTTAGCTAACATGTGGGAGCATAGGAGTTAGTAGTGTTCTATCTACATCAATGAATCGCTATATTGTTGTGTGCACAAAGGATACCTCTCTTAACAGTGTTCTAAATGACTTTAGCTAATGCTGAAAATTATTACCAAATCTTCACCTTGTGAAGGGAACTGCATTAGCAATGAGAGCTGAATCATCAAGTACTTTAATGCCAAGAAATAGCAAACACTGGGCCTGTTTTTATTCATTGAATGGCTCTTCTTAGCAAAAGAGCTACCCAATATTCTCAGCAAACTAAGAGAGATAACAATATATTCATCTTCTTTCATTCTAAGGGGTACCTTTTGTTCTCTCTGAACTCTGATACCAGTATAAAATGCAGCATTGGCATGTGCAGTAACACTGTACTGAGGCAGAAAGGCTCTTTCTAATGACCGTTCTCTCTTTACTCAGAACCATATTTACCTCTGAACTGAGTTGAGTTTTATTTTATGTAACTTGCAAACTACCCCGGAGCCATTTCATTGTACCAGAGGGTTAAATCTAATTTTGAATATGTAAAATAACTTACTAAAGGATAAAGATTGAGAACGAAGGGAGATGGCAGTTAAGGGAAGTTTTCTTGCTATTTTATTTTTTGGTGGTTTTGTTTTTTTTGTGGGTTTTTTGTTTGTTTGTTTTGGGGTTTTTTTTTTTTATGTTTCCAGTTCCCTCTACATCTGTGAAATGGGGTTTTCCAAAGATGGTTTAACATATAGAATTAAACCATTTTCCTCTGAACTTCATAGTTGAAATTTGACCTTGGCTGGAAAGTGGTCTGACCAAAGAAATAGTGAACTTCATCCTTAATAACTGAATAGTCTCTTATCAAGAAGTAACTTTTAAAAAGTGTTAACTGTTACTTGACACTGATTTTGTTTCCTTTAACTAGTAAAAACTACATTTTGTTTGACTAGAAGATCTAATTTAAAGAAATGAAAGCAATGGCTAATGGAAAGAAATTAAACAAAGACAAAAGTCTTCTGAATCATAGTGGAAAGGCATTTGGTCAGGAAGGAGTTTGAATCCTGAAAGTTTTTTTCCTCTCAGATACAATAGACATGGTCTTTTTCTCTTCCTCACAAGTCCTTCTCCTCATCTGTGTACTTACTTGTTTAAGGAACAACAGATAAGTCTTCACTGAACTTAATCTTTGAAAGCAGGGCTCTTTACTTAGGCCTCATGGGAAAGAGTGCAAAATATTGAAGTATTTTGGTTCCTGCAATTTAGAAGGGAAAACAAGCAATTAAGTCAGGTTAATCCCTAAATTTCAGAGGCTGTCCCTTTGTAAAGTATGTCCCTAGGACTATGAATTAGATCTGTGTTCAACAAACTGCAGCCCCCTGGTCAAAAGTGATAGTGGACTAGCCTCTTCATTTAAGTGTTGTTTATGGCTACTTTCTTCTATAATTCAAAGTTGAGACCAGATGGCCTGCAAAGCCTGAAAATACAGTATTTACTGTCTGGCACCTGACAGAGGTTTACCAGCTCCAAATTAAATTTGAACGCATCACCCCCCAAATTTGTCAGTCCTGCCATTTTGCTATTACAAATTCATAAGTCTAAAAGGGTTTTAATTCGTATTGCTATATATGCATGTTTCCCAAAGAGTTTGCCATCTTTTCCTAGTTCCTTTTCTCACAACCCTCCTTGTGCTCCTTAATGATTCCCATTGCTTTAAGAGCATTTAGAATAGTTTTAGGATTTGACCTTGCCTTAAAGGTGCAGGTAGATTAAAGTTTAGGATGGTTGTTACAGATATAGCCAAGTAACTTTTAAAAACAATCCCCATGCGTAATAATGTAAGGTTAAACGAATACCATGTTTACATAAAATACGGTAAAAAATTGTTTTTATAAGTAAGCTTTGCCATTCCTCTGAGTTAACTTGAACTGCCTTGCATAATGATAGCAAGGGTGAATTTATTCCCACTAGTATTAAAATTGTATTTCTGTTAGGAATAAGTGGTTTGATTCTTATCCAAAGTACTGTTTTTCTAGATTAGAAACCTCTAACTTTTCCTGTATTATAAATCTTCATTCTAATTTCCTCAAGTAAACTTACTCTGTTCCTTGTGGAGTACTGAAAAGCCAAATCTTCCTTTTCCCTTTTTAATGAATGTTTTAAAGCATAATGAAACATCTGAAGATTGCGAATTCTTCCTAGACCTATCTTCCAATTTCTATTACTGTATGTAATTCTTCTGAATATATATTGGGCCATTATATATTTGTTTTGTGAATGTTCATTCTTACTGTTCAAATAGCTTATTTATGCTAGATGTGAAAAAATTGGAAATTTTAAAGAAATAATAATAGAATTCTTTGCAAAAGGAGAATATAGTTGTTCCCCATTTGAAAACAATACATGGTCCTCTGCATTAGATGCACTTGT